CTCGTTACTGTAAGGTAAGTGGATGACACAGTCTAAGAGATTCCCCTGGAGACTAATTTCTCCAGCCTAGAGGGGCTTCCAGCCATGGAAGGCTATAACCGCCCCTAATCCCATCCTCCCTAATGGCAAGTTTGAGCTGGCTTGGCTGAGCATGAAGGCAGTCGTAATCCAATATTGCTGGAAGGCACCAGGAGAAGTCAGTTGCTTAAAATTGGGAGGAGTCTGCCTGCAATTCATTCTGTGTCAGTCTGGCCACAACTACTCCCTAGGGAAAGAAAGACTCTTGACTCCATAGGTTTTAGAGAAAAGGTATTTTTTACTAGAGATGCTGAATGCAGCATGGATGAGGCAAGCTCTAAAGAAAAATCGTATGAAAATCGTGTCAGAGTTTGTTGCTGCCAGCACACAAACAAATAATTCAGCAGGATTCAATTATATATAAGAAACTTCTTTATATACAATAATACAACACATGATGCACGTATACAATACCCATGCAGCTTTTTCCAACGTGGTAGAGAGAAGAAGTAGCAGCAAGTAAAAGCAATACAGGCCAGGATGGAAGCAAGCTAGTGCCAGTGCACTCAAGCTCTTATATATAGAACAGTTAAGCCACACCCAGGCTCCAAACTGTCTCAGTCACCAAACAGTCCCACCTGTCACCATGTCTATTCCAATTCATGAACTCTTATACATTGACAAATTGTATATTGAAAGCAATTCCCAATCAGGCTCTGTTCCAATGTTTTGGGAACTTGATGGCTCAGGCACCGGTGCAAATTCCTTTCCCAGGTCTGGCGTCCTTGAAGCTCAGTGTTAGTGTCCACACTCCTCAATTTCCCATAGCATTCTTTCACACCTTCAGCACGCTTCCCTTCCCAGATGCCCCCTTCCCCCTGGTTATGGCAGTTGCTAGCAAGCTTCAAAGACAGAGAAGATGAGCAGCTGACATCTTGATTGGAATACTGATTCTTTTTTAAAAAAATGTAATCCTCAACTTACGACCACAATTGAGCCCAAAAGATATGTTGTTAAGTGAGAAATTTGCTACACTTAACAAATTTCTCACGTAACAACATATCTTTTGGGGTCAATTGTGGTCGTAAGTTGAGAGTTACAATTTACCCACTGGTTGCTGCAGTTATTCAATTAGCAACACGGTTGTTAAATAAATCTGGCTTCCCCATTGACTTTGCTTGTCAGAAGGTTGCAGAAGGAATTCACTGCAAGAGTTATAAGTGTGAATCCAAATGCAAATCATGTGACCATGGGGATCAACGGTCATAAGTGAAAAAATGGTCATAAATTGCTTTTTTTCAGTGTCATTCTAACTTCGAATGGTCACTAAGTGAACTGTTCTAAGTTGAGGACTACATGTATTAAATATTAAAACTCTGCAAACAGTTCATGTCACAGCATTCTAACTCTATACAGCTAGTCCTTGACTTATGACCACAATTAAGACCAACATTTCTATGGTTAAGCGAGACATTTCTTAAGTGAATTTTGCCCCATTTTATGACCTTCTTTGCCATAGTTATTATGCAAATCGCTGCACTTGATAAGTTAGTAACACAGTTGTTAAGTGAATCTGGCTTCCCCATTGACTTTGCTTTACAGAAGGTCGCAAAAGGGGATCACAAGTCCTTGGGACATAGCAGCGGTCATAAGTATGAAGCAGTTGCCAGGCGCCTGAATTTTCATCACATGACAATGAAGAGGCTGCAAAAGTTGTAACTTTGAAAAATGGTCATAAGTCACATTTTTCGGTGCCGTTGTAACTTTTAACAGTCACTAAGCGAACTGTTGTAAATTGAGGACCACCTGTATTATTGTGTAGACATCTGATTCATTGAGGTGTTTCGCACAACTGCTCCAGGACAGAGCAATCTTTTCTGCTGTTCTTTCACCCAAAAAATGTATGGTTAGTGCTAAATTTATAATCCTAATTGAGCCAGGAATTATGGTCATAAGTCACTGCAGTTGTAAATTGAGGCACAATGACCTGGCCCTGATTTTTTTTGATGTGGTCACTTAACAAATACCAGGGTTGTTAAGCAAATCCCTTTTCCCCCAATGGGGGTTGCTTGCTGGAGACCAGAAGTAAATGCCAGAAATCAGCAAAAAAAAACCACTGCAAATCTCAGTCATGTGATCATAGGAGGCTGCAAATGGCTGGTTGCCAAGTGTTCAAAGTGTGTTTTGTCTGTTTATGTGTGTGAGTGTGCGCGCGTTCAGCCATCATACCTTTTTAAAGATGCAGCTTTGGGATAGGAGACACCATCATAACTTTTAGATCGGCGCGAATGCCGCAGGTGAGAGTCGCTAGTGATTTTAGCACTTTTTATTTCCAGCAAAATATGACTGCGCTCTGCCAGCTGGGCTGCCGGAGCTCGCCCTTTAAGGAGCTCTAGGCAGACCAGCCAGCTAATGACAGCAGTTTAAATCTCATGCAGTCAGGACAGCCAAGCAGCGGTGAGCATGAAAACTTGCCGATTCTAGCCAATCCGTGGCAAGCATGAAACCTTATGTAGATTCTAGCCAATCCATGGCGAGCATGAAAACCTATGTAGATTTCTGATGTACGTACGTACGTAACCCTCCTAGAATGAACAGTGTCCAATCCCTTGCCTACATATGTGACGTAGTCCTCCAGGTAGGCGGGGCACACCGGCTTCCAACTGGACCTGCGCAGTTCACTTGTCCCCAGGATCTCGGCTGCAGCGGTCGAGTCTGCTGTTTCTCTGGCTGCCTGGGAAGGAACCTTCTGGAGCTCCTCGGCCCACGAGTCGAGTTCTAGCCTGGTTCTTTCAGTTTCCAAGACCGTCACTCCCCACTGGATGCTCTCGATCCTAGATAAGTGATCGCGGCTCAGTTTGGCATGTAGTTCCCCTGTTGGGACACCGAGTAGGCCTGTTTCTCACTTGTCTGCTTCCCAGCCGGCGGTTGAGCGTGCTCCTTGGGGCGGAGACCTCAGGTTCTGTGACAGTTGCTCTGGCCCTCTGGTTGCAGTCCAGTCGCCCTGGTTCCTAAGCTCGGTGTCCCTCAGGCAGTGTCTGAGTTGGTCGATATGCCTCCTCCAGATTCGCTCATCCTCCAGCTCAATGCAGTATGAATTGGGGCCAGTGACAGCCATGACTCAGCCTGCCAGCCAGGTCGGGTACCCCGCATAGTTGTGTGCAAATACCTGGTCCTGTATGTTGAATGCCCGCATGCGTCGTGCAGAGTCCAGGGGGGGTCTCAGGAAGGTAGTCTGGGTGGTATCGGTCAAGTCGTGACCTCAGCCTTCTTCCCATCAGCAACTCCGCTGGCGTCTTGTTGGTGGTTGTATGGAGGGTGATGTGTTAAGCGAGGAGGAACTGGTCAACTTTTTCCTGCCAATTACCTGGGCCCACCTGGGTGAGGGTTTCCTTGATTAGTCTCACCATCTGCTAGGCCTGCCCATTGCTTGCCAGGTGGAAAGGAGAGATGAGTATGTGCCGGATCTCTTGCTCCGCAAGGAATGCCTGCATGGTCTTCGCCATCAGTTGTGAGCCATTATTGGAAACCATGATGTCGGGTAGACCGTGGGTGGCGAAGAGTCATCAAAGGACTCGAATGGTGGCTTCTGCCGTGGTTGTCTGCATAATGATTACTTCTAGCCATTTGGAGTATGCGTCCACGGCAATTAGGAATGTTTGTCCTACTGGCCCTGCAAAGTCAATATGTATGCGGGACCAGGGTCCCTTGGCCACTTCCCATTCATGAGTGGGTGCTGTGGTGCTGCTGGTTGCGTCTCCTGGCAGGGTTTGCATGTGGCCACCCACTCAGTATTGTCCTTGTCCATCTGGGGTCACCAGATGTAGCTCCGGGCTAATGCCTTCATTCTCATGATCCCAGGGTGCCCCACATGTAACACATCCATGGCTCGCCTCTGAAGCTTTTGGGGAATGATGACCCTTTCTCCCCACAGCATACAGCCTTTTATGGTTGACAGTTTGGTTAGCTCACTGTGGTAACTCTGGAACTCCTTCCTCAGTCTCTCCTGTGGCCACCCCCTCCACCCCCCCAGTTCAGAACTTTCCGTAATGTTTTGTCTTTTTGGGTGTGTTTGGCGATGTCTCTGGCGGTTACTGGGCTGGCTGGGTCAATGTTGATCAGCAGTACTTGGGCAGTGGGTGCAGGGTCTTCCACTAGTTCTGGCAGCGGGCAGCAGCTGAGCACGTCGACATGGCTGATGTCTTTGCTGGGGCGGTGGATCAGCTCGTAGTCATATGCAGTGAGGAAAATGGCCCAACTGGTCATTTTCGG